TTCTTTCAGGGGGCCCACAGGGTCGCCTGTTGCCATTGCCAACCCCCTGACCAGGACAGGAAGCCATTCTGTGCCCATTTATGTAGCCATCTCGTGCACGGCCGCTGTCGTCTCGCGGTTAAGCAACCTAGCCGGGCGAGGCAGACTTCCAGGGGCGACGTACCACCAGTTTACGCATCAGCACGAGGCAGAGCGGGAAAGTGCATGGAACGTGTCGCTTCATCTCTATAGAAAGTGTGAGTGCCGCTTCTTAGTCTGCCGGAGCGAGTAGTGCACCTAACACCGTGCGTCCAGCCAACTTCGGCGTGCCCCAACTGAAGGGGTTGTGACGGGGGTTCGCCCGTCAAGCCTCATGAACGAAAGACATCACGAAGCGAAACAAAGCAAAGAAAGAGACTTCGAGTCAGTTTCCCTTCGACTGCACACTGTCCTGTCATGCCTCGCCACTATCCGACAACTTCGGCTCGGGGGCCTTCAGACGCCCTTTTCGCCGGAGCGAGCGCGAGAGAGAGAGAGAGAGAGAGACCCTGAGTGGCTCTCGAATGCTCCCCGCCCCATACGCCGAGCAAGGCAAAGAGTGAGAGCCACAGCCACAGTGACTGCCTTTGGCCCAAGCCTGGAAAGTTCTTGGCACATGAGTGAGTAAGTCAGTCAGTCGATAAGTCAAAGAGCGGTTGCATTTCGGTTGAATGATGGAATTCGTGGGTGCATGTGTGTGTGTGTGTGTGTTTGGGGGGGGGTTTTGTGTGTGTGGTTGCTCCTCCTTCCGCAGTCGTGGTTGCGTGGAGCGGTTATTGTCGGTCGTTGGACGATTCAGCGCGGATGGTGGCTATTGTGCCGTCCACCAATCCTGCTGTTGTAATCGTCGTTTTGGTCTGCCGTGGCTTTCTTGTCATAGCTGTCCTGCTGTTCTCGTCACTGTCGGCGTCGTTGTTTCTACCAGAACTGTTCCGATCGGCTGAACATATTCTGCGCTGAGCCAGAATTTGCAGGTGTTGCACGCGAATCGGGGGAGTCTGACCACCCAGGCTGTCACATCGGTGCTTGTTGTGTTTTCTGCATTCAGTCGGCGAGAGTCTCAGCAACAGCTTCGCTCGTTGCCTTCAATTTCTACGCCCAAGCTCGGCAACGGCCATGTCACCACGGCATTCGCTTCTAGGATTTCTAGGCTTACGTGGGCTTCCCGTGTTCGGCTGTCGCTTGAATCTCCAGAGTCTCTGAAGGTCTCGGTCATTTGAAGAGGAATGCGTAAGCTTGCCTGTTTTGGAGGCTTGTCAAAACATTTTGTTGGACTTCAGGCGTTCGATATATCAGTTCAAGCTTTGCAACAGGTAGTTTGCTTGACATCTATGACATGTCGAATACACTCTATGATGAGATAAGGGATTCTCCCTGTCACGTTCGATCGGCAGCTGAGCGGGAGGATTTTATCCTCGGCATCGTGGCAGCCTCGACCGTCATTGCGGCATGATTGCAAGCACTGCAATCAGGGAGTTTTCGGAACGTTTGTATGCATGCCGGGGTGCGTGGAGAGCTGCATCAATTCAAAACGAGTACACTTGGAAAAGAACGTTCCTTGTAATTAGTAAGCCGCTGGTCAGACGCTGACGCGACTAATCAAAGAAGCAGGATCTTACCGAAGCAGAAGTTCGCTGTCCCGAGTTGAAAGGTAATGATGGCTGCAGCATATGGATTCTTTCGCATCTTGGCCAATGAGCTGTCATCATAAGAAAGACAAGAAAATGAAGAAAGACCACCAAACAACTCTTGCAACCGCTGCTATCACACTTCATCATCGAGACGGCTCCAGTGGAGGTACTCGTCATGGACCTCAGTACAGACAGTAGCGCGGCGTCTCTAGTTTGTTCTCCGACTGCATCTCGGCAATGGCACACATTGCCTGCAACCCAGGAAGCTGGCGTCAGTACCGAGACTCACCAGGTAACCATCACACAGCAACAGGCCCTTTGCGCTTCATGCTGACAGTCCTCGAGTACGTGGTTCATGGTGTTTCTGTTCGCTCATGTTGCAGTAAATCTTGCCTTGAGGACTTGAGAGCCGATAATGGGGCGGCTTCCAGGTCAGATTTGTGGCACTTGTAGTTGTATTTACAAAGCCTTAGCCTGGTGCATTCAGCCGGTCGCCACCGCTACGCTGCTAGACACGACTGGCACGAGATAGTTAGTAATACTGTACCACGTGATAAGATGCAGTATGCTCAAGTCCAGTTCTTGGACCAGAAGACGGTCATCCAATTTCCAGGAGCATGGGCAATGAAATGGATCGGACCCCACGTTCAGGCGGCTGGGCGGCAAGTTCTATAGGGCCTAGTGCGAGTGGAGGCTTGGAGCTTGTTCACGCTTGAGGTTGTGGGCATGTAAGCACATGCGCCTCTGAAATCAGGCTCGGCTGAAATTGGTACCCACAGGCTACGAGAAGTGCGCCTTGAAGAGGCCTTGTAGCCTAGAAGCTGTGCCACTCGCAGCTGTTCGCAGTTCGGGAGTTGGACCTTCGGAGTCTTTTCTTCGATACAAGGCACAGTGCCTCGAGAGTCTGAAATGCTACGGCAGTCCAAACTCCAATGGCCGCCGGACAGTCCATAAGCATCAGCTTGGCGCTACCGGCAAAAGCTGTCCTTAACCACTGCGTGTCTCAAAGTTCCCAAACCTGCCCCACCAAATTTTGCGACAGGAACTGGATCGTGAATGCTACGCCGTATGACATCTCATTTAGCCAGTCATACTCGCGCCTTGGCTGACTTGCTGGAACGAGATGCTGGCATACAGTAGCTTTACTCTGAGAACACTTCAAACTTCGTATCTTGTTCATATAAACTACTGGACCAACCCCGCTGGCTCCAGGTTGGCGACGAAGCGCATCAAGCTTGACTCGTACACCTTCGGACAGATTTTCCACTGTGTCAGCGAGCAAGTAGTGCTTGAGATCGAGAAGCCAGGTCTCTCGGCCTGTGCATAAAATATGTTTCTCTGTTCGGTTCGGATCAGGTTCGGCCATGTCCCACAGCTTTCTGTTGCCCGCTTGCGCCGCTTGCCACAACAGGCTCCCCTCCTGCCGTTTGGAATCTCGAGGAAGAGGCAGAGCCTGTGTGTGTTTCTGTGGGCTTTTGTTGTCCACGTTGGTGCGAATGGGCTTTGGCTCCCTTCCTGCATAGTGAGCATTGCAGCTGGGCAGTGAGCATCCAGTCCCGCTAGCCTGCTATGTAGGCCAATCTCTTATAAGGGTAGAGAGTGGTGGATAGTGGCTTCGGGCCCTGAGTTCTTAAAGTCTTAAAGGCACGACTTGTTTGGCGTAAGTCTGGCACAGCTTTTGAAGCCGGTATTTTGCCTTGCCCGCGCCTGCCTTTTTTGCAAGTTCTGCCAGGGACATGATGCAGCGATACCAAGCCAAAGCGACAAAAACACAAAGCACTGCCTTTCCGATTGAACTTGGCCCAGACAATAACGATCACGGTCACGACTTCGGATTGGATCAGGATGGCACCCGAGTGACTTGGCTGCCGCTTTTCGCTATCATCACTTGTCACTCAACGCGTACCGTGGTGAAACTACATAAACATGAAGAGCTCTCGCTTGGGCTATGGCAGGCAGGCCCAGGGTCTATCAGCTCCGAAGCCGAGGGGAGTCATCGCCTACGATGGGCCTTGTGCCCGAAAGCACTTGGGCGACTGCGCAGCATGAGGACAGCAGAGTCATCATTGTCTCTATACCACGGCAAAGCTACATTCTGGGACTGCGCGTCGGAAACAGGGGAAGTCGGGGATCGCATTTCATTACTGTGGAACTCAGGTATATAGCAGAAAACTCAGAAAGCCACCAGAAAGGGCTCCAAGATCAGAATCAGCAGCTAAGCTTGTCGGCAAGTCAAGCTTGTGGTACTTCTCGAGTTGGCATATTCAACTCATCGTCACTTGTGTAGCTGTTTGCAAGTGCTTTTTGGAGAGCCGGATGCCCGGTGCCTTGTCAAAGTCGTGGAATGCTCAAAGAATAGCTAGCAAGGCTCACCTTCTGCTGGTGTCACCGGCACCGCCTCGTTAGATCCTAAGCAAGACGGGGGAATTCGTCGGTAAATGCTCGCCAAACCCGAGTCCAGAAGTAGATCCACTCGAGCCTAAATGGCCTAAATACAATCGCCTCGGGGCAATCCGGACGATGCCCGCCAAGGTCCAGACATGGGTCACATTCGCTTGGCGACGCTAGGGCACGGCAAGGGGAGACAGCAGCTTGGCCCAGAACATGTTCCGAAAGGTTTGTACGCAGGCTCCCTGACAGTCACAGGGAGGTAGTGGGGCGCACATCTTTGCCGCATACTGGCGCAGACAGGTGCTTGGTTCTTTGCTGGTCCCCTCCTCACATCTTGCGTGGAGTGCCAATGCTGGAGTCCCGGCAGATTCTAAGGGGTGGCATGCGTATCGCTACAGGGCCTAAGACTAAGAGATTAGGCTTGAGAGGCTCAAATCCCAAAGCTTCAAGATTGTAGTGTCAAGTTCTTCTGCTTATAGCCACTCAGCATGACAGGATGACTCCGGACTGTCCTGACCAAGGAACTGGCGCGTTTCTTCCGGCGGGTAGTGACGCATCCACGCCTGCGAGATCATTGGCAGGCGGCTCTTCATTTCCAGACGGTACCACCGTAGGAAGGGAAATGTGGAAGAGACTGCAGCTGTGCCGCTCCGATTCTCGGATCGAGCTTTGCACTTCAGGCTTCAGGGGGGGATTCGCGGATTGAGTCCGTTGCAGCCGCGGAGTTTGCACGAAAACATGTCATCGCCGCTGGCAGCAACACGGATGGTTGACAACTAAATTCAAGGTAAGTCCCTCCTTCCATGCGATTGTGCCTGTTGGACAGGAAGATGAAGTGACAGACGACACAAGCTGGCAAGACAAGCCAGGGCCACTTATGGCCGTCCTGACTCGAGGACGCAAACTGAGTGTCCAACAATTTTCACAACTGTGCCTCGTGCGGAATTCCCATCACTTCCAAATGAACACGGCTGGGTTACATCTGTTTGGTGGTACACCGTGACCTCAGCTGCTCCCTTCCGCACAAGCCGACAGGATCAACGAAAGCAACGAAGAATGCTGAGCATGCATCCTCCCTGCACAACAGCAGTGCGAACATGTCCCTTGGCTTAGTGGTTAGTGTCGCAGGCAAACACGACACTATGGGGTGCTGCATGCACATTCCTTCCAACACTCTACAGGGCTCTTTGGCCGAGGTTCAGGGTCGAGTGGAAGGTCACAGGCAAGGCTGCCGGGGATTAGGCTTCCGTTCGGTTTCAGGATGTTTCAGGCAGGGTCAAAGGCGGGAAGGTAAGGTCAGGAGTAGACCAGCGGACTCGGAGCACCCCATAGAGTGACGTTAGACTTTACGTTTCTGTTATTTCATGACCCTTGGTTCACATGTCGGGGGCACCAGTTCAGTCAGCAAACAGGTGGTCCCGGGTGCCCTCAGTGCTTCCTCATACTTGTCTGATTTCCTCGAAGGGGGAAACGGCCACAAGAATAGAGCACCGAAAACCAGGTCCAAAAATTCTCTGCAAAGACTGAGCCCGGCCCGCAGAATGATGGACGGGGTAGCGCGAACTGCGCGGGACTGGGGCCTCCCGCCCTTGCCCGAAGCCCCAAGCAAAGCAAATGAGACACGGGGAGAGTGAAAGCAAAACAACGAAGTGATGATCAGCATGGCCTCTGCAGGGTGTTAAGCTCGGTTGCTCTGCCTACCTGTTTCACGTGGAATCGGGCTGCCAGGTATAACGCGCTGACACATGCAACTTCTCCGCAATAAACATACATCATGCGTGCTGGTGTTCAAACTTTCTCGTGAGACTTTGGCAGCTGCCTTAACTATTACTTGCGCGGCACCTGTGAGGTGATAGTTCCTGAGTCTTCGGTCTTCGACGCTTCGTATGCTGAGATTCACACCAAGTACGGTGCAGCAGCTTGGCTTGGCGAAGGAAGAAGACATATCTCTTGCAGAGGCAGCTTGACAAGGTAGCCAATATCCAGCATGTTGATGCGTTCTGATTCTAGGCTGTACAACACCTGAGCCATCCATTTGGCAGCACGAGCCTACATCGCAATGGGGAGCGGTGGGCCGTGTCCAAGGCAAATCTCTTCGTGTCGCACGTGTGGGCTGAGACCGCGCAGAATTCCTTGGAGGTTCGGCCAAAATGAGGAAAGAGTTAGTGCTAACCGTGCCTTGCTTGATTGTCAGACCTTGTACCTGCGAGGCCGTGCGCCGCCTTTACCGGTTTGCCACCCGACGTATTTTCAGAGGTCAGGGTTCATTTGGCTTTCGGTGCTGCAGTCCGTTAGGTTAGCTTCAGTAGTCCAGCGGGCTGCCGTTGCTGTTACTTTGTCCAGCCCAAAGTTCACGGCTACCGTAGCAGGATGTTCTGGGACACGCACTGTCTGAGACAGTGTTTTGCGCCAGTGCCCTGACCTGTCTTCCAAGGTTAGGGAAAACCAGCTCAAGCCACAGCAGGTGCGAGGATGGCGGCTTGACGCACTGGATAAGCAAACTTGGGTCGTGGATCGCCAGCTGCAAGAGGTACTGCAACAGTCGTCTCTGAGGTTCTGCACTGTGTGCAACAACCAGAGCCGGGTGATCGAGGCCTCAGGGACAAGCCCAGGATTGATAGACTTCAGCATTGTCTGCATTTTCAGGCGACATTTGTCAGGAGAACACACGTTGATGCCATGACAGCCCAGTTGCAGTTTCGTAGCAGTCTACACACGCATACATAGATGCATGCATGCATACAACAAAAACTGCATACATACACACAGACATACATACATCCATGCATCCATGCATACTTACATACGTACGTACATGCATACAAATCCTTTTGTCAGGAACTCGGCTCCGAGGTTCGGAAGTCTCCTTTCTACCAGGCAGGCACCTGTTTCGAGGCTTGTGGTGAAGTTGGCAAACTTGCCGACGATACTCCGGTCGTCGGACGCACCTTACTCAGGGTGGCGACTGTTGCTTGTAAAGGTCCTCGACCCTGACTACAGTATTTGTAGGAAAATGCTCCATCATGATCGATTCTGCCTAATGCCCGGAAGCCCTGCTTGTGGCTTTAAATGAATTTCTGCTTGTGGCCGGGCAGGTTCTGCAATCCAAGAGCATTGAGCAGGCCCTGGCCCATGTTCACCATGCATCTCGATCTTCCTCTCTTTCTGTTCTGTCGAAGTTGCTCATACCTCCGTGCCGGGGTCGTTCTAAACCGAGCGGCTGTGGCAGACTGAACAAGACTGATCAATCCTCGCCAAGTTAGGGTCCACATTGTGCCTTTGACCTCGTCAGGTGGCGCTGGTTTCTCCTCTAAAGGCGCTGAACCGATCCATGGTACAGAAGCACAGGGTTTGCGGGCGCAATTGATGCCATAGCATGGAGGTCAAGCATCAGGATCATCAGGACATACGCTTCGATAGCGCTGGCCTGAAGAGCTTTGGCATACTGGAAATGGCATCCAAGGAAAGTGGTGCAACTTCGAGTTCTCTTTGGCCATCCACAGCGATAAGCCCGTTTGGATGGCTGCTCGTGCTTTTCGTTTGGCTAGAACAGAGAAGCGCCGCGAAAGAGAGATACGGTGTGACAGAATGACTGACTAGGTCACTAGGTGATTCCAGGCATGCTTGGTAGTAACCGGTAGTATTCTGCAGGGCAGCAAAACCAAAAAGGGAAGCCAGTAGCCGTAGACATGGCCGGCTGCCTCAGGTCACCAGCGACGGCGTGGTGCAAGCGGGCGACGTGCCACCCAAGGCGCCGGATTTACCATCTGAAAGAATGAAACCAGTGCACAGTGCACGCGTGCGGGGGGGGGGGGGGGGGGGGGTGAGGGGAGTTCCATGGCTCCTTTGGAAAAAGACGAGACGCAGATGGAGAAAACAGCTCGAAAACGAGACCGCGATGGAGACCCCAGTCACGCGAACGGGGGATCGCCTGTTTCAACAGAATGTGCATGGACCCAAGAGGTGCGAGTTTCTCGCCGACTTATGCTGAACGCTGGACGTTCGAGTCGCCCTCAGGGGCTTCCTCGTGCCTTAGACCTGCAGCAAGAAAGAGAGATTTGGCACATCCCCGATGCTCTGGAGAAGAGAGACGAAAAAAAGAGTGTGATTCCGCACAAGCCGTCAACAAAACGGGCGCGCCAGCCCGCGGGGGGGAGGGGGGGTCTGCCCTCAGCCTCATGAAACGGAAAGAGAAAGTATGAAGCTGGGTGAGGAGACAAATGCTCCTCTCCAACAGATGTCCCCTGAACTACATAACTGCATGTGCACCTCCGCTTCGTTTACGATCTAGTATCTAGTAGTTACATGCATAGTATCTCTCCTAAAGCGGGAGAGTGGACAGCCTGAGCGAGAAGTCAGCAGCTCTGCAGTGTACATACAAGCTGCTTGGAGAGTGTCTGAGTAAGCCGCCTTGGTTACTTTAGCGGTTGTTGGGGATAGTTGGCTTTCTCTTTCTCTTCGAGCCGCTAGGTCTCCGGGGTCCGGCAGATGTACGATCTCCAACTATGGTTGGTACTTGCTGTTGGCCTTGTCGGTTCTTAGTTCGTCCTTGTCCTGGAATCCTTTTCCAGTCAGTTCGGACGAGTTCCCTGCAGTGCGACATTGTTCAGATGGGCGGGTAGCAAAAACAGTTCTTCTATGTTCTTCTACACCGCCCCTAAACCAGGGATGGCGGCAGTTGCGGTGTATTTTGGTATATGCCCCACTGGCAAAGGGAGCAGATGGAAAACGCACAGCCTGGCGTGGTAAGGTGGCTCAATTTTGAGAAATTCAGTGTGCCCGAGACAAATACCACGTGCACGGTACATACATGCAAACGTGCGGAGGACGGCTTTGCAAGAACTGGAATGCACATGTTCTGAGGAAGATGGATGAAAACGGCATAAGAAGAAGAGACCCGAACCATGAGAATTCTGAACAGACTGGGGGCCTGCTATCTGCTGGCAATATGTTGTTGCGTAGTCTTGTTTTTGGATGCTAACTGATAGCTTTACGATTTGTTTGTCTACTGTAGCCGAGACGTTGTGATTTTTTCTCAAACTGCAGTTAAGAGCACAAGGTCGTGTTCATCCACCCCACGGCCAGAAGGCTTCCAGCCATGTACTGGCTTTTGATGGCCTTTGTTCTTGTTTGTAGTGAGGTACTGCTAACAACTGAGTTGGATAATGATTGCACTCCAAGATCGTTTGCATCACCCTCCGCCAGACTCACGCGAACATGCCTCGCCTCCCGAACGCCCGAACTGCCGCGGGGTGCGGGGGGGAGGCAAGATAGAGCTTTATGCCGAGATGAGCCACCGAAAGACGGAAAGTTCCAGCGCCCGAATGCATGATCCGTTTGAACAGCTCCTGAAACGGGTCGCGATCTTGCCTGTGCACCATAAGCCGATTGAATAACAACTTGTTCAGCAGATGAAACCTGGTAACCCAGAATCTGGTTGAAGTGAAACATGTCACTGGCCAACCACGGCTCTGCGCAGGCCCTGCGACAGATCGCCGAAGCTGCCGGAGCCTTCAGAAACTCTGTGAGGACTTGAGGCATGTCAGGCATGTCAATCGCAGTGGTGGCCATGCTTCGCAATAACTACTCGCCAGGCAGTGCAACCGGTAAGCCAGGCCATGCAAGAGCAATGCCTTCTTTGGAGCAGGAAACTCGAAACCGAAACTCGTTGGACCTCAGGCAGTTTTCGTGCCTTCGCCATGGTCAGCCAGTGCATGTCTCGATGAGAAAGCGGATGTCATTCACGGCCACCGAAACTCCCGAGCGGCACGGCTTTTGGGGACCAAGGTCCTCAGCTTCCGCTGCCAGGTTGGCCGGGTTCTGGGGTCAGCATGGGCAGAAGTTGAGCGAGCGAAGATTCATTGCAGCTACTGTAGTCCAAGAACGAGGGGCAGACTGTGGCCGGATGATCTTGCACCCTCCCTCCGCTGTTGACATATGATTTCGGACCTCCAGGAAGAGTCGCCCCAAACTGTCATCTCCCATGCCCTCGAACAGCGGCTAGCATGAAGGAGTCGAGGTGTTCAACAGCAGCGGACGAAGCAATGATTGATGCGGCTGTGGCAGGCCTCAGGGCGGGTTGAAGGGCCACGATGCTTCAGAAGTGTTGTTGCGAAAGGCTTCAGGACATTGAACTCTGCCGATCTCTCTCCTTGTTCGAAGGGTAGCGGTGCGGCGAGCAGAGAGACTGCGTGGCACGAGTCACAATCACTGCACCCTTCCAACTTCAATAGGATGAAGAAGAATCCAGAAGTCTTGCAAGCTCCCGGCACACTCTTGCTCCTGCTTGCTGTTCAGAAATGGGGGGCTATGACCGGCTGGACAGCAAGCTGAAAGCTCCTGTGGCTGTAATATGGAAAATCTTGAAGAGGCATTACTTTGCCTGTGTTGCATGTCGTGGGGGTGTTCAAGCATGGCACTATGGTATGTCTGGAGCATGGCCCCGAATAGGGCAAGCTGTTGTTCGAGTGATCACGCCACGATATGAAGCCTTCCATGAGCATTCCATTGGCGATTCGAAGTTTTGCTTGATGGCTTGCATGCGGCCCGATGTGTATTCTGTTGATGTCTGTGGGCGTTTGCGAGTTTGTTCATTGTGCGAGGCAGTCTTCCGGTCCGCTATAGAAGTGGCACACATCCAACTAAGTGAGGCTGGGAAGGGCTAGTGGACGTCGTGGCGCTGCAATGCGTACATCTACAGACTGCTCAAAGGTGTCTTACTGTGTCCACGCGCCTGTGACCCATCTTGCGATCTCGGGTTGCCCCATCTGTGGATGTAGTGTGCCTTTGCAACTTGTTGAGAAACTTGCATGCCGCAGGAAAGCGCGCGCTTTCTGCTGTTGACAGAGCATTCAGAGTCTCCTGCATCCTGGAAGTGTTTCGCAAACACAGCTGTGGAGTATGGCAGGCTTTCGAGATGGTGAAGCTTGAGGACATGTCAATCGTGAGCTTGAATCTCTGTGGTGCAGATGAGGTGGCGAAGACCGCCGCCTCAGATACCTCCTCTCGAACTATGCACGTGTAGGACGCTGAGATCTAGTTTGAAGTGCACCCTTGAAGCATCAAAGATGTCTTGGACACTGGGAAACATTGGGGTTCAGCAAGGCCGGTGGCAGATCATGCTGTGTGGCAGTCAATACCGCGTGGCTGGCCAGGCCTAATGTCGATTTTCTTGAAGTTCAATTCGCAGCGTTGGGGCAAGTGTCGGCTGCATTGTCATAGGCGCCACAAGGGCAACAGGACAACGTCAAGATACTGTACTCGTCAAGAGTTGGTTAGGTTAGGGAGCAGGGTGTCCTCGAACTCTGGACCGGGGCAAGCCTGGACACTGCCTGCCGCTGGATTGGCCTCTGTCTTGCCGGAACACACACAGCAGAGAGTTGGTCACCATGTGTAGCAGGCAGCGTGCGTGTTTCGAAAACATGTTCAGTCAGGATTGAATTCCTCTCGACAGACAGGGGCAGAATTTTCAGGTCACAGAGGAGCGCAAAGCGTTCTGTGAGGCATACACACCGCCCGTGGTTGGAATTTGCAAACACCCTGTCGATTGAATAGCAGCTTCCGGCTGCCTGCTGGAAAGAGCTGCACGATGAAGCGCTGACAGGTTGGGTGTGCAAATGACGACTTGGCAACACTTGTGTGCAAGCTACCCTTTACCATGACGAACAGCACATATGCTGCAAAGCAGCAGGCTGTCTGTCTTTGACAGGAGGTCGCTTGGAATTTTGTAGGGCGGGCTACAGTGGCTACAGTGCCCAGCATCTCCTCGCCCATGTGCGGCGTGTTGATGGTGTCCCCGGCAGGACACCGCACACACCAATATTTTTTGGCTTCTAGAAGATTTCATCTTCCGTGAACAGGCTGCATGTTCCTGCTTCCGCAGGAAGTAGTCAGTGCTGCAGCGCCTGTGAGGCAAAGCCTGGGCGAAGGCAGACAGCTGACATGCAGCAGTCGTGTGAACCCTACCGGCCAATCATATCGCTGATCAGACGATGAAAGATGGCTCTCAGGAGCCAAGCATGCATGGCATGACTGGCCTGATGCTGTTTCGGGACATGATGCGTGGAGCCCCTCTTCCGCAATCTTTAGCGCAGGTGCAACTCTGCCAACACCACCTCACGGTCTTGTCCGGAGTGTGGACAGCTCTCGCCCCACCTCACGCAGCTTGGCTTGCGACTTCGTGTGGGGGCCAACTTCGCGATGTGTTTCCAGCCGGCTTCAAGCCCAAGCGGCCCGATTGCATAGGCGCTACATCCGATGCGCTCGAGGCTCAGAGCGAAACTCAGGGCCTTCGGCAGACACCGGCCTATCAGATCCACACTTGCAGAAAGAGATGTCATAGCAAAAGGCCATGAGCTAGGAGTCAGGTGTTTGGCAGTTGATTCGCTTGCAACCAGACCCCCAATGAGGCATGGAGCCTCAGAACGTAAGGGTTTGACATTGAGAGGGTGCCGCATCACAGCAGCCGGCATGGCCCCCTGCCGAAGCCATTTCGCGAGTTCTCGCAATCACAGGAGCAGCTGATCGGCCGCCGTGGGTTTGAACCAAGTTCTCGATGTTCCGGATCGATCAGTTAGTGCCGATAAGGAGCCATCAGGATGTTTGCATTCAGCCGACACCTTACAAAACAATTTCATTGTAAAAGGTGAACACTGTCACAAGCGATGGACGGAAATCGGCTGGTCCCTGAGATCTCTGACACTGGCGGCGAGACCCTGTCTGCGGAGGTCCATGCGAGAGGGTTTCTTGCTCTTATAATCCTCTATGAAATGTCCAACCGTCGGAAGCACAGCAGCTGCGAACGCTGTTGGCCAAAATGCGGCACATGCTCAGTTTCTAAACACTGCTGATCTATCCGACTGATGCATGACCCAGTTTCATCAGAATGCAGTGAGCTGCACCACTACTACCACCGCGGCCGCCCACAGCGACAGCAATGCCAGTGTCAACGCCAGCATTAGCAACAAAGCAAATAATACGCCAGCACACACACACACACACACACACACACACATATATATATATATATATGCACACACACGCACACACACACAAACAAAAACAAGAGAAACAAGCCACCACCACAACAACAAGACTAGCAAACCCAACAACCACATTCACAACCACAACCACCACCGCAACGACAGCATCACCAACCACAGCAATAGCAGCGACAGCAGCACCAACAGCAACGGCAACGGCACCAGAAGCAACAGGCAACACCAACAGACCGCAATGGCAACAACGATAACCTTCACAACCACAGCCGTCAGAACAACCACGACACGACGACAACAGCAGCACCACCACCATCACCACCACTGCCACCACCACCAACAACAACACCAACAAGAACAACAGGCGCCACCAACAACAACAACGAGCACCACCAACAAACACCACCAACAACAAGAGCAACAACAACAACAACACCAACAGCAGCAGCAGCAACAACAACAACAACAGCAGCAACAACAGCAACAACAGCAACAACGACAACAGCAACAAAAAAACAACAAAAACCACAGCAAAGACACCAACAGCAGCAGCAGCAACAACAACAACAACAACAACAACAATAACAGCAACCACGACAACAAGCAGCGACAACAACAACAACAACAACAACAGCAACAACAACAACAACAACAACAACAACAACAACAACAACAACAACAACAACAACCACAACAACAACAACAAACAACAACAACAACAACAACAACAACAACAACAACAACAACAACAACAACAACATCATCAACAACAACAACAACAACGACGACGACGACGACGACGACGACAACGACAGCAACAACAACAACAACAACAACAACAACAACAACAACAGCAGAAGCAAAAACAGCAGCTGCAAAAGCAGCAACAACACCAACAATGCCACGACCACCACCACCACCACCAGCAGCAGCAAGAGCAACACACACAACAAACCGCAACACGCTGCAACCAGGTTTCCGGCATTCCCGGGCAAAGTATCGGACAGCCGCTATCCCAGAAGAAGCAATCGAAGGCAGACACATTCGCTGAAGCACCACGTCTTACTTGAGAGGCAGAGCCCGGCGCAAGTATGGCAAACGCCTCCACTCAGGCGCATCGCACGGGCCGTTGAGAGAAGACATGTAAACAGATCTCCGTGCAGAGATGTGAGCCAGCTGCTCTTCACGAGGGAGGAACACAGAGACAGAGTAACGTTGCACTGTTACACCTTCAGTCAACAGGACACAGCGGCCGCTCGGGCTGCCCTGGCTGTGCCCCCACTGCCAAGCAAAGCCGAGGAGTGCAGCCAATTTCTGGCAACCCTTCATCACGAAGATAAGGTCAGGCAAGTCAAACCGGCTAACACTGGCAGTTCCAGCATGTGGCAGCACTTGAAAGTTTAGGATGTACCGTGGCCGCTTGGCTTGACAGGGATGGTGCTTCGTCAAAATCTAGCATGTGACCTGCAGGATCAGAGGGGCCTGCTGGGACTGCGGAACATGGGCAACACCTGCAACTTGCTGCAACTGCTGGCCTAGGGGCTTCCGGCAGATGTGTTTCAGTCGGATTCAGTCGCCATGTAAGGCTATCTCAACAGCGCAGTGCAGTGCCTCTCGCAGACTGCGTCCTTGCTGCAGAGCCTGCAGAGAGACGCCGACCGAGCCCAGGCGACATCCGGTTTGAAGTGAGGGGACCTTCGAGGAGTTGTAAACGTTTCGCACAATGTTGCTTTTGCTTTTTCTGTGTTTTCACCTATATTCTAGGGCGTGGTATGCAAACAGGGTTTTGAAAGGTCCAATCCCCAAAGACTCACAGCTGGCCACACGACATTCAGCCTATTCACGTATTCCATTGAAATGAGCATGCACACCAAACATGCAGATGCATTTAGAAATTCAGGCCACTGGCAGCCAGCGATTTCCGTCCCAAATCGAACGCCTACCGTGTGACCTTGCTTTCGCAT